ATGTATTAACTTAAATTCTAAAATACAGGAAAAAAGAGCATAAAGTATACCTTTGACTTACTGAACTTTTGTCTCATTTAAGGAATAGTGGTTTGAAAACTCCTGCCCAGGAACGTGCACACAGAATTTCCATGTGCATCATTAGCAACTGGGGAGAGTACTTCAGAGGCCAAGTTTAGTCCCTCATTGATCTTAATTCTACTTTAAATATTAACACAAATGTGTATAGTTGAAGGCATTCAGAAGGAAGCGCTGCCATCTTAGTCACACTGCACAGATCATATATCTGGATTAAGTTTTTGAGTGCTTCATAATATCCTCAGTCCTTTGGACCTTGTGTATAGCACTGTTGCAAAATAGAATGGCAAATGTATTTGTAGAGCTATCAGCAACCTCCCAGGAGCCTCCTCACCTATGAGAACACGGGTGGGCGATGCCTCAGAAGGCAAGTAGGGTGGATATGTTGTGATTGCATATGCTGGCAGGTTAAAGGGGGCAGGGGGGAAACAAAGGCAGGCTGGTTTGGGTCAGTGTAAGACTGCATCTCTGTCCATTACTTATTCAATCAAATTCAACCACATGAAATACAGGCAGCTAACAAACCATATTTTGTAAATGCCTTTTATTCCAGCAACTGAAATTCAGCACATTTGTAGGTGTGGAGCTGGGTATGCTTAGCATGAATGGCAAACTAATGTAAATCCTGTATTAAATATTTTGGTTCATAGCAAGTCTCACATATGATCATATATAAGAGAGAAGTCTGTACAGGTCTCTGGTAGCATAAGGTCCTATCCATACAATTAGAAACTACAAAGATGATATGAATATAGAGAATAACACAGAAAAAACATCCTTTTTTAAATGCATCTGTCATTCACATAAAATCAAATCCATATCCATTGAAAGGCTTTGAAAGATGTTACAAGTCTTTAGAAATGGTCCATGCTGAATGTGGGATATTTTTTCCAATCCTTATAAATAATTATTTTCCTATGTTTGGTAAGATGAGCTACAGAGAATTTATGTTAAGACTCTGTGGAGGGGAGTTCTGAATTTCAGATGACATTAAGCTGAAAAGGTGGTTTTAAAATGTTTCTATGATACAAAAACCTTGTATCAAAGAGGCAAATACACCACCCCCTCAGCCTCTACTCTCATTTATGAAATAAGTAAGCATAAAGTATATATTCTAATTTTCAGCAAGTATATTAGTAAATCCAAACTGACCTTGACCTTAGCTTTGCTAATTTCCTAACTCTGATATTTATTCCCCAAGTAGATTGTTTCCCTTCATACCACATACATAAATACTGCAAACCTTTCCAATGACTTGAATTAGAGTGTAAGTAAATAGCTGGGTTTAATCTACATAATATTTTGAGAGCAGACGTTCTGTGCTGTGACTATTAAGATATACCCAGCAGCCATTTGTATAATACTAAAACCCTCTTACATATAATATTAAAAGTAATGCTATCAGCCAGGGCTTGTTTTATGCCACAGAAACTTAAATAATAAAATACAGTGTGGATAAAATCTGCAATAATAGTAACTTAAGCAAAATTAATTTAAGTAACAGATAACATCTGGGGGAAAATGTAATGGTATATTGGTAAGTTATGCAAAGCTAATTTTATAATAACTACCACATCTGTGGAACTCATTTATTAGAACGCTTTACCAATCTTCTTTCCTGCCATTATTCTGTTCTAGAAATTTTCCTGTATACTATTTTATTGTCTCTGCTCTGCCTACATTGGTAAAAAGGTAATTTGCTAGCTCTCAACAACAAGAAAAGTATGTGGGTTTATATGCAGAACAGCATGACACTTTCTTATACTTGCCTCTCTTTATGCACACTTTTACTAGAAAGAATTCCAGATAAAAACTGTGACATGGGGCTGTGTGTTGAGAGTAATGTCTCAACACCAGCTACAGTCCTCAGCAGCGGCTACACGGAGGCTTGATGAAACTGGGGTGGGAAAGTAAAGGTGATGCTGAATGTTTCCCAGACTAACCTCTGCTGAATGTTGGAGCAGCCTTCAGCCTGCTCTAACTTGTCCAGGTTCAAGTGGCCTTTTGGCACCCCACCACACCTAGGAATTAGTAAGAATTTTGCATTTAACTTCTGCTCGCTCCAGTCTCTTGGAGCATCCTTTTGTCTGCAGCTGACACGGATATACCCTCTACATTTGTGCAACTGCCTTACAATTTCTTTATGTTTGAATTCTCATGGACCCACTGGACCACAATATGCAGGAAAATATTGCCAATTAATTTTAAAGCGTTATCATCCTGCCAAACTGTTTCTCACATTTCGATAGTTATATTGATTCAAGAGGACACTTTGATTAATACATCTTTGTCATAGTGAATAATGCTCACATAATGACAAATCTTCAGGAATTAAAAAAAAGGAGGATGAATTTTTTAATGTAGGTCAGGGGAAGTAATACACCATAAATTTACTCAGACTTCAGAAACTAGCAGCATTTTTTAAAGCCACTGTAACTGTATAAAAACTTACCGTGTCTCCTTCTCTGTTTTTAAATAGATTTTACTTCAGAGCCATTGGTGCTATTAAACATGAGGTTTTGTTCAAAGGAAATACAAAGACTTAATTGTATTTTTTAAAGGAAAGTATTTCATCAGAAGGATTCATTTAAATACATTTGTTGGCTTCGGGCTCTCAGCACAATTCATTCGTTCTAATTTTCCCCTGGACTTGTTAAGGACACAATGTATAGGAAGGAGCAATGCAGAATGGCATTTTTAGGTCACTGTATTTTGGCTGTAAACTGTAGTACTGCTCATAAACTTATTACTAAACAAAATACTTCATATTCTACATTGAAGTTTCACAGTCTTTTAAAAAAACTTTTGGCTGAATATTGAGACTATTATAGCTCATTAAAGAGACTAGTTCTGCTATAATTTAGTTATTTCTTAATGATCCAAGGTTTATTATTAGACACGGAATAGATGAGTAAAGAATGGCTCTCTTTAAAAGGACGCAGTGAAGTAAAAATATTATTCTAAAACAGAACCTCTGAAAATCTTATCCATGCTACAAAAATGTATTTGATCAGCCAGGAATTGATTTTAAAAACCCGGTCTAGTTTTTTACATGATTTCATTTTTTTTAAGTTTGGACTGGAGGGAATAAATGGAATAATGATTAATCTAAATAAAGAAAATATTTTGAGTGAATAATTAAGTAACTAACCAAAAGATGTTATTTTAAGGAAGCAGAAAGTAATTGTGAATTCTCGTCCAATTCAGCTAATGTTTTTTAATAAGAAAATACAAGGTACAAAATCAGAAAATGGAAACATTGGCTAAATCAGAAAAGCTCTAGTTTAAAAAATATATAATTTGAAAAAAAAAAAAAAAAGTTAATTTCTGTTCCAGAAAGAGTAACATTTAGCTCAACTTAAAGCTTTTTCATTTTGATACAAAACCTCAACTTGCTCACTATTCCTTTTGTGAGTCTGTAGGCACTAGCACAGTGCTGTAAAATCCAGGTCACAAGTGATATAGGAAAATGCTCCTATAAAGTTTGGTTTTTCTCCTCACTTAAATTCTGTAAATCTTTCTGTCAGCCTTTTGGGTTCCTATAAACATGGGCTAATACTGTCTACCTTTTTTAGCAAGCTCACACATGACAGTGAATCTTGAAGATAATGGCAGAGTCCAAACATAACTTCTGAAAAGCTTTCAGGATTACCAAAGAGATTTTTAACACAATATAAAAGTACAATGGCTAGGTCTCACTGTTTATTTTCAAATTTTGCTATAACTTTTGCAAATATGTAGAACCTTTAATATTTTTAGCATGTTTAACTGTAGCAAGTAACTAAAGAAACCAAATATCAACCTAGCTATGATTTCACAGGTATGAGGAAATTAATTTATGGGAGCTGCAATTACCCTGATGTGAATTAATGTAGTTGACTTACACATCCAAGCAAAATCGTGTTTGTAATAGCTGACTCAGAACTGGAACATCTGCCTGGTATTCTCGGTGGGCACTTCCCGTTGTAGAGGCCCCAGACATGCAGTTTTAGTATTATACTCTGTTCCTTGCTTGTTTAAAAATACCTTTTGTCACCCTATTTGGCATGTATGTTTTGTTATCTCTTAAAAAGAAAATAAATACACAAAATCTTGTCCCTTTAGAGGACTCAGGGCTGCCTTCTGCATCACTCGTGAGAGTCTGAGCAAGAACTAAGTGCTGCATCCAGCTACTCCGGGGGGAAGAGACATTTCCTTGTCAGAATATTCCTAGAGCTGCAGTTCACATGCCAGCAGAATACTGGTGTGGTTCCCATGTTCACAGGAAAGAAATGGGAGCAAGTTGATGAAGCAGCAAAACTTGGACCGATAGCAATTCTTAAATTATAGTCACATATTAAAATATTTTCCTTAAGGCCTTATTTGATGCAGCGTCACTACAACTTTACTCCACTGACTCCTTTGAAAGAATACCCTGGTGGTCAGCTGAACCCTTTAATTCCAAAATGCAACAAGGTCCCTGTTCAGAAGTGACAAATTTGCATTGGGAAGACTGCATGTTACCTAAGCTCTGTGTTTTCTAAATGTAATTATCCACATGAGTAAGAATCTGTAGTGTTATGAAATTATGAAAATCATCTGTTCTTTCCAAGTGTTATAAAGAGGGCCCCTTGAGATGCAGCAAGAAATTAAAGCTGATCTATAATCACTTTCAGTATGCTTTCTAGTTCTAAGCACCTGGATAGTAACAAAAAAGGTATTGTTTTTTGTTGTTTGCCAGCCATTTCATTTCCATATAAAAAAATCTGCAGTAAACCTCTGAGCAATAATTAAACCTGAATTACTTTTTTCTTTTTTTTAAATACTGCCAGTATGTGATTGAACTTGCCCCATCTGCAGTTCCCCCCTTCCCTGTTATGCTGGAAGAAGGCACACCTTTGGATATCTATTCATCATTCATAATATCACCAACTACTGCAGAGACAGAATCTAAGGTACAGAGTTTTGGTAGGTTTTTGTTGCTTTTGGTTTTTTTTAGAAAAAGCTATTTTTCTATGAGTCTCCTACCTCATTTATTCCCATTGGAGCCCAGTGACTGATGATATTTATTCCCCAGAATATAGGGGAATATTCTCTTCTAAGATGGAATGAAGTTGCTCTTACTGCATTAGTTGGTCAAGAGGACATTTGAGTCAGCACGTCTGGTCTCTTTCCCCACGCAACTTCATAACCTCAGGATCTGCCTGGCCTGAGCAGTAAAAGAGAGACATTGACGGTCTCTGTCAGAGCAGGAGTTCTCAAATGCAGGCTTCATGTGTTGTTGCATGTCTTTGGGCTGATGCTGTTTGGTCTTGTAGGGGGATGTTCTAACTCATGTGTTTCTGGCTGCTGCTAGGAGTCTGACCAGGAGAGTTACCTGGAAGAGCCCTGTCCAGAGGGAGAGTCCTTCGAGGCAGATGCCGTGGCTGGTGTCACTGCTGAAGATCAGAAGTCCGCAGTGGGTGAAATCCCCAGTGAAATTATTGGCAACCTTGAGGTACTATTACTAGGAAGCTATTAACTAATTCTGTCTATGGTTAATTAGCTATCTCAGCCTTAATGAATATAAACTGTATGCTTGCTAAAGCTGGCAAAAAGCATATCCATATGCTGTAAAAAATGTGAATTAGCCTCTATAAATAACTCCTAGTTTAGTCAGCTTACATGTGGTAAGATAAAAAATATTCAGTAATATAACAACGTATATCTTCAGCATTACTATGTGTTAAGAAAAATGGACCAAATCCTGCTCTCGGCGTTGTCAGTGATAAAATTCCTTTTCAGGGGTTCAGGATCAGCTGCTGTGATGGAGCATATGCAACATGTGCTTAATATAAATTGTTAGATGCAAGTATGTTACACATCCTTTAATCTGTGTAAGAAATAACATATTTATGCCAATTCTTGACTTCATTTGGTAGGTGCATATCTATACAAGAGCTGCCTTAATAGAACAGATCTGGTTTTGGTGTGTGATCTGCAGACTCTGAGGAGTCCATGAGTTCTTTCTATGGGGTTCATGAAAGGGAAGCTATTGTCAGTGGACTTAAATTTGTTGTAGGGTGATCTTCTCTACAGGTAGGTCTGTAAATTGAAACACGTGCAAAGCCAACAGAGTAAATCATTGTTATTTTGTAAACTGCTCCCTCAAGCATATGAAATTATTGAAAGCAAACTAGCTAGAACCAAGCTAGCTAGAACCAGTTCCACCAAGGACCTGGTGGAATTTGGTTTTATTTGCAACAACCAGGTGGCATTAGGCGCTTTAAGCTTTAGATATAGCGCATTGCATACTGTTGACCAAGCAGCAGTCTATTAAACATCTAACATTATCTGAAAATAGTGTGATATTGGTAAATTGCTTTACATGGGTTATGAATGAAAGGAGAATATAAATTAGAATAATGATGCCATCATTAGATTTACCTATTTGATTTCATATTCTATTTCAACATGTCTTTAGAAACAGGATGGGACCTGGGCTATGTTGTCTTATTCCTGTCCCTGTCTACAGAAACAAAATGAAATGCCTGGTTTTCACTTGACCTTGATTTCATTAGCATCAGTGCTAAGAGGGTTTTTTTCTTTACAAATTCTGCACAGACAAGAAAAATATATTTTTAATTATTTTGCAACTCTAGATATATACACAGAAAATATTTTCTGTGTATATAATATTTTCTTTTGTTTTTTAAAAGTCTCCCACCAATGTATCTTTTTCACCTGATTTCTGAGTTACTTGACCTCTGAGGTAATCTTCTCATTAGATTTTTACGTGATACATGGTCAGACTCAAAACATTTTGTTAGGCGTGAACTGTGATTTCACAATCTGCATTATATCTCCCGGGAACATAAGGCAGCTGTTGCTCTAGTTGAGTCTAGAAAAGAACTTTTAGTCTGAAATCACAGTGCTGACAATCAGTGATCACAACAGCAGCCATGGTGAAGTATGGTGGCAGCTGATTTTCACTGAAGGTAGAATCAGAGACAGAGGGATGTAAAAACTGGAGAAGAAAAGGCAGCTGGGGTGGGTGGCTGGGAGAGGATTAGCCTGGAGGATCAGTGCTCCACAGCAAAGCAGTCTAAGTATACAAATAATGGAAAGGGATATGGATATACTTGAGCATGGATTGAATATGGTAAAGGTCATCTGCAAAGATACAAAGTTAAGATAGAAATTCCAGCTTTTTATGCTAAACTGACCGACTGAGAACTAAAATGCAAACATTTTAGCAGTGGTTATCCATTCATAGGTTGAAGTATAGCACTAGTAGGGATTTCTAGAACTGGCAAGCCAAAAAGTTCCTAAAATGGCAAGTTACTGCAAGCTTTTCTGGGCCAAATCCATTCACTTTATCAAAATTACACTGAGGCCATCAAGAATGTAACTCTGAGTTTTAGAACAGTTTATATGGAGTCTGTAAAGGACATCTGAGCCTGTTCCAGTTGTTTTAACAAAACTTTGTGACTCTGGGAAAGACTGTCGTTTTGCAGTGATCAGTGCTAATATTGAGAAATATACATAAATTCGCCATAAAACCTCAGTATTTTTGGCCTTTTTTCCAGTGATCCTACATTTCCAAATGCTATGGAATTAAAGATTGCTGCACTTTATCACTGACAAAGATTTCACTACAATATGTCACAACCCTCATACCTTCCCCACAAACGTTACATTGTAAATTAAACACTGAATGTCTGCAGCAGCCTGTATTTTCAGAATGAGATAGACATTCATAATTGTGTTTGTAATTAAGAAAGACAAGCAACATCACAGAAATATGGGGGTTTTTTATTGTTCATTTTCACTAGTGCTTTCTAATTCCAGCAATGTTTCAATAAAATGTATTACACTAGAGAACAAACATCTGCAGCAAAGGAAAACAGTGGCAACAACCAAATCCCAAAGCAATTTTTCTGATTCGGTGGTTATTGGTAAAGTTTGCCTGAGAATACAGGCAAATTAGCCTATCTCCCAAGACAGGGTTACATGAGAAATGGGTGTCCCAGATCACTTCCTGTCCACGGCAGTCATACCCTACGTCGGGATTGTGCTCGGTAATATGATAAAGTGTTATCACGTAAGCACAGGCTGAAGCACCGTGATGTCTGCAAAACAGGAAGGTGTGTAGGATAATGTCTGTCTTACTGCACTACAGCGTGTCAGAACCACAAAGACAATGTGCAGCCTAAGATAGCTCCATCATAACCACTCTTTTCTTCTGATTTTCTTTACAGGCAGAGATAAATGAAAAGCTGCAAATGCAAGAAGAAGCTTAAACTTTGAGAACAGAAAAATTAAAAAGCCCTAAATAGCCAGATAAGAAAGGTGATGTTGAGTTTTACAGAAATTGGACAGTAGGGGATGGCGCGCACAGACGACTGGCTCCCTGCCTGAACATAATTATTTTTGTATAAAGGAAAATGGTTCTGTTAATATTTACCTAGAAATAGTTCATCCCAGTTCCTCAGATTTACTGTGTTCTGCCAGTGTTGTTATTTAGTTTAGACTTACGTAGAAGATTATAAATGGAAGGCTATGTAATTAAAAGATGTTGAACTTCAGTTTATTTCTGAATAGAAATCCTTTTTATTTTTATTTTTTAAAAAAAGCTATAGTTTCATTCCTTTTTCCAGTTGTGAACTATTTAAGTTTCTGCTTTACACCTATGGGGTTTTTTCAGGAAATGTTGCTAGAAGGAGAATACGTAGAGAGAAAACATAATTTTGAGGCACTGCAGATGTAAGGAGAGAATTTAATTAACATGTAATTACACACTTTTCACTGTAGCCGTTCATTAATAATATGTATGTTATTTCATTTTAACTTGCTTTCTAGGCATTAAAACAAATTTAATATCTTACACGTCTTTATTTCCACCACATTAAAATTGCATAAATGAAGAGTTTGCGCTTTTACGGTATTCCCAAGAAGAGTTTCTTTTGATGACAGTGAAAATTTTTCTGGAATGCATGTAACCTTCCATCTGAGAACGTTTTCCTATGCTGTCAGGCATTACAGAAACGTTTCAAACTCAGAAGGCACCTAACCAAATGAATGGCCTACGTCTTTATTTCCACCACATTAAAATTGCATAAATGAAGAGTTTGCGCTTTTACGGTATTCCCAAGAAGAGTTTCTTTTGATGACAGTGAAAATTTTTCTGGAATGCATGTAACCTTCCATCTGAGAACGTTTTCCTATGCTGTCAGGCATTACAGAAACGTTTCAAACTCAGAAGGCACCTAACCAAATGAATGGCCTGGCGCTCTGTGCCCTGGCAGCTCCAGCGAGCGGGCGGCGAGCCGTGCGCTCAGGCCGAAGGCTGGGCCGGATGACGTGGCCTGGGAAAGACAGTGTTTTGTTCGTTACAGGTTCGTATCTGTAAGGAGTGAGCTCAGTCAGACGCTCGGGTTTGTTCCATCTCGCCCCATTCGCACGCGGGTCCTGCCGCTTGCCGAGCCCGGCTCGGCCCCGGGGACGCAAGAGAAGCGCTTGAGGCCGTTGC